TGTCATTGCCAGTTTTAATAGCATTTCTGTTGAAAGGACATATGCCGGTTACTTCAAAGCCACTTGCAATGTTTCTCTGTGTCATTGACCTTCTCCATGCATCAGCAAATAATACAGAGAAATTGTATCTGGTTACCACACAACCAGGGTTTTTAGTGCAGAACTCATGACACACAGCCTTCCAAGCAGTTTTTAATGGCCCAAAACACCCTTTGTCAAGTGGCTGTGTTAAATGAGTGGTATTGGGTGGCAATACAAATATTAAAATTTGCTCTTCAGCTGCTATCTTGATAAGGTCAGGACCATAATGAGTAGAATGACCATCCATCAGGAGAAGGAGAGGACGTACGCTAGGAACACTCGTTAAAAACAGCTTATGAAACCAGTACAAAAACAGCTCTCTACTGATCCATCCATTTGGAGATGAGCCGTAAAGTGTACCTGGTATTTCTCCTACCATTAGCTGATCATTAAAGGTCTTACGATCAAATATTACAAATGGAGGCAACGGTACTCCAGCTGCACAAGTGCATGCCAGAACTGTGATTTGAGACTTCCCTTCTCCAGTGATTTGACTGACATTCTTAGCTCCACGACCACTCACAACTTTCAAAGATTTAGGATTCAATGGGAGTCCTGTTTCATCACAGTTGAATATGCGAGTTGGATTGTTGAATAGAGAATTTTCTTTAAGTGTGTCTTCAAGTATATCAAAATACTTTTGTATGACACTATTATCAGTGGCTATGGCTCTCGAAAGACTTAAAGGTACAGCAGTACGAAGTGATAATTCACTGTGCCTGTTACAAAATTTCTGCCACCATCCATAAGAAATTGAGACGTCACTTAAACCCTTTGACTGAATTGTTTGTCTTACTAGTGCAAGAACTTCTGAAACTGTGCGGGGAAATCCAATCTGAGAACATTTGATTAAAAACTTAGCCAAAATAACCTCTTCTTCTTTTGTAAGATACGGCACTGGGCCAGGTTTAGTTCCATGTTGAACATTTCCCCTGATCCTGTCATAAAGTGTTGATTTGGGAATGCCATATAGCTCTGCTGCAAGTCTAACTGTCAACCCCTCTTCTTCAACTGCTTTGATAGCATTCGTCATGCTTATTTCAGGCCATGTAGAGTATGTACATGGGCGTGTCGCCATCTAAAAAAGACAT